CATGAATCCTTCATTACCTCTAAAATACCACACAATTTATCTTATCGGTCTCTGAACTCCACTCATCTATTATACCACCCATCCTTAATGTTTCCTTGATTCTAATACCAAATAACTTCTGACCTGTTCTTGCATATATATATATATATATATATATATATATATATATATATATATATATATATATATATATATACAGCTACTATTGATAACCTTTGTCATTCCAATTATTTACATTCAATTATTTCAATTGTTTCATACTATTTGTTACCTCCATGTTAAATTCTAATACATATTTGACTGTAAGCAGCTGATAAGAAATCACGAATTATAATGAATTCATATTATTCTGCATCTATATTTGCTCTAGCTTTATTTAAATTCATAAAGGGAACTAATTCCATGACAGAATCTTTTATTGATGAGTTTAGAATATCAACATAGTTATATACAGTATGTTTAATACTTTCTGTTTATTTCTTTTACATTTATGACCGAAGCTTCAAACCATCATAATCTAAGTTATTTACTAAGTACACCTCAAATGAATATATATATATATGTTTTTATATGTGTATATATATATTTATTTGTATATATATATATTTATATATATATATATATATATATATATGCTGACGTTTCGCATTATTATTAACAAGTTAGCAAATCACAAAACCTCATTACATCAGTCAACAATGCTTCATTTAATACATTAGACATAAACTTATAAAATGATCATTTAAATAGAATAAATTATATACTATTGAATAAATCATATGAATGTATTCAATAAAAACTAAGTAAATTTAAAGTACATTAAAAGTTAATTATATTGCATATTAGTACTTATCATCACATTACTTGCACTAGTTATAAAGTTAGCGCGGTAATCGAATTCAATAATAAAGCTATTTCCCTTGATTTTTTTACAACCTAATCTTTGATCATTCAACAAAATACTATGTTTTTACTGCTACTGTTAGTTGGGTAATTAATATCATATTGTATATTGCTCATTGTTGATTGAATTCTATTGAGTAAATTTGCAATTCCACTGCTAAATAGTTTATCATTACAATTCGACTCTATGTGATATCAAATAACCGAAGGTAATAGAAAGAATATTGTGAACTAACGCCTTTCCAATAATTTTTTTCGCCCGAATTCATATCCATTATGTAAACCTATACTGTTGGATAGAAAAAAGAAATTAACAACAACTTGACATTATCTGTATTATTCATGGTCTTACTGCTTATCCTTAGGAACAAGGACCAGTGTAATTCTCCCGATACAAAGATTAGTACACTAAAGGTTTATCGACTCTTCATCATTATTAGACCAAGATAAATTCATCTACAGACTGGTTTTCTGCACATACTTGATAGCATCACATATATGAGAAAATGTATAGAGTATATTTCCAGTTTCTCATAGATATGATTAGTATAAGTGGCTAAATAGTAAAGCTCAAAATTGCAACCCATTGAACAGTGTGGTAAACGTGTTTCTGCCACAGATTTTGGTTCATATTGCCATGTGGTTTGAATAATCTGTTCTATTTTTGAACTAATCCTTCCGAATCGTCCCGTTTTTATTTAGTTAAATATGTATATAAAAGGTAATTTTGCTAAGCAATACTTCTTTGTATTTAAAGGCTATGCTTGCGGTACAGGCGAAGCAATAGTACTGACTATTCGCACTTTGCCCTGAAATCCGTCCATCATTGTGTTAATTTGCTGTTATAAAAGTTATTCGAATAACTCGATTACCCTTATAAATTTTACTGCATGTGTCTTGCGCTTATTTAACAAGCTACCGTAAAATATGTTATTAGAAAGAATTTATTAAATCGAGAGGAAACATCATGGTGGGCAGCATCGTATCTCGTTACATACACCGAGTAATAATGTGTTAAAATAGAGAAAATGTTTCAGCTAAATCAATGTTTTGATATTTTGAAATATTTACGTATCATTTTTGAAGGCTTGTCGAGGTGCTGCATTTGATAAAGGTGTTTCCACTATGGTAACAGATGCAGGTGAAGATTTAATTGTGCACAAGTTGCCGATAGAAGCAGATATACTAGTTGCATACTCCACAGTACCAGGTATGTCCCCATAAATTTGTTTGTTATGATTTTTTTAAGTCCTATAAATTACCAAATTAATGTTTCTACGAATTGGGAACCTGTTGGAATAACTTACTTTCTTAACAAGTATGTACAAGTCAGTAAATACCTAAACTGATTTCATAATATGTTAGGGTTTGTAGCGAACTACTGTGTTCGAGCCACAATTTGAAAATCAACACAAGGATGGAGGTACATTCAGCTAATGAGTCCTATATAAGACAAAACGCGCCTACTGTATCCCACTGCTAGCTATAATCTATCTTCACTAAATACTTTTCCAGAAATTTATTTTCTATGTTAATAAAGCAAGCCATTTTCGTCTCTTGAATTTTTTTATAAACATCTTTAGGTGTTAATTAAAATGACTCATTATATTGTTATAGGCAAACGGTATTATTAGTTCATTTGTTGTTTATTATTATCACTTCAAATGATAATTAAGGTGTATCGCCAGTAGGACTTATTTATCTCGACGGTTACTTCTCATCTACCTGGATTACCAATCCTCAGCTCTACCTCAGTAGTAAAACCTTAAGGTTGTTTAATTTTTAATTAAGGACAAGTTGCGATTTTTTCTTTGGTTGTCGCTCTAATTCATTAACCTTCAAATGATTAGTGAATTATATTTTGTTTCGCTTTAATATGTTTCTGGGAGTGGGGAAGTTTTTTATTCCTACTAGTAATATTAAATAAATGCAGGTTCCATAAATATATTGTGTAACTTGATAGCCAACAACAAATAACTGAAAGATCACTTGGGATCAATGGAATACTATGTTGTTTTACCATTTAAGTGAATATGCATCATAATAACGTACACCTATAATCTTACAAGCGATTGCTTAATTTATTTGCATGTACCTAATGTGCTCGCTCCCAAATTGGAAAGTCCTGGACTAGTAAATTTTTATTTAATCAATCCTTCAATTATTATCATATTTACATCAGCCTATCATGTTTTTTTAAAGCTGTTCGAATAGCATCTCTGAGCTCAACATATTAACTTAATTATAAAAAAACGTAGTAGTTTTCATCAAATTTCCAACAAAATAATTAAAATAACCCAAATTTTATGTTTCGGTATTTTAGGTTTTTTTGCTTGGCGTAACTCCTCTTCAGGCAGTTGGTTTATTCAAGAACTATGTAATGCACTTGAATCCGATATGAAAAGTGCGAATCATTCAGATATTATGTCTCTTCTCACAGTAGTTGCCCGTGTAGTAGCCTATCAATATCGGTCGAATACAGGTCAAATTGAAACGGATAATATGAAACAAATGACAAGTAGTGTTAGTACTTTAACACGATTATTTTACATAAATGGACCACCATCATGAAAAAAGCTGAAGGTTCGCAGTAATTTAAGAAATAGACTTCAGGAAAATTAACATATCTTTCATGAAAAATAGACGCTCGTCTATACTTCCTAACAAAATCTAGAAGTTGCACGATTGTTTTTTGTTCTTATCACACGCATATTCACATTGGAACTTTTATTTCTTTAATGATTGTATCTGAAAACCATTTTTTAGAAGCATTAATGCAAAGCGCTTTTTTCAATTAAATCAATAACTTTAAGACGAATCACCATTCCATGTGCTGTGTTTTTTATTGCTCCTAGTTGTTGTCTGCAGACCGACATTTATAATGTTCAAATCGTTTAAAATTTCAGTGAGTTTCCCTTTCCCCCCTGCCAAAAAACTACATCACTTTTAAATATAGTTAATGTGCGGATTATGTTGAAGTTTATATCTTTAAAAACTTGCTCTATCTAATCAACTATATATATAAACAGAATTTCACCCTACGAAAATCAACATTAAAGGTTCTAAGTGGCTATTATTAATAAAACTAATTGCCAGTTTATCAATAGACGCTTTTCTTCCGAAATTCTCTTCCTTTCTAATCGGTGTTAACAATTTTTAGCAGGACGACAAAGGCTAACTGTCCTGAGGTCGTTTTATAAAATGATTAATTAGAATGAGTGTTGACAATCCACCCATTAGTTACCATGACTTGGACGTTCGACAGTGTTGTAAGCAATTTCGATGACAATACGATGGTTAGCGGATTATGTAGAGCATAGATAATCGCTGAGAGCATGTTTCTGTCAATATGGCATTTTTATTTATAATGAGACTATCTACACTAGTGTTTCGCTGTGAATTATTCTTGAAGTAGAAAGCCTACAAGAAACGATTTCCCTTGCCAATTTATTCCAGATAGTAGTGTTTTATATGAATTGTGTGTGCATCAATAATGGAAAAGATTATTTATATGTTTTTCAATGTTCAATATGTTTGCGGTATCGAGTGTTTTCCCGTTCATTTATTAAGTACTACACATAAAAGTATTATTTCCACGTAGCAGAGCACTGCTAAAATTTCGTTTAGATATACGTCCATTCTAAATAAATTTAAAGGAATTTTTTAAGGTTCTAAATGGCTGATGTTGATGTAAGGTTTTATGGCTGTATATTTGCATACAATTTAAATTGACTTGTAATTTGGAAAAAATCTGAACAAGTGGCGAAGTAGGGAGTATCATCCCATTTAGTTTAGTTCACAAACGTTAAAACCGCTCAATCGCCATAAAATAATTCTACCTAGTGGAACCCAATAATAGATACTACGATGAATAAGTACAAAAATGCTGCATTATTATGCTGATTGGTACTATATCCTTTACACTTGGATTTCCGTTTGTTACATCCAAACAGGGGAATTCTTTCGCTCTTATACGATGTATTTAGGTGTTCATCCTCATAAAACGTAGAGTATGTTGCCTCAGTGCATGCTTTATAAGATACCGTTTTATAGGAAAGTAAATAATGATTTTGATGAAGTGGTATGCTAAGAGGAATTAAATGAAGGCGACACGTTGCTGATAGCAGATATCGGATCAGTAGGCTGCCAAATGAATATTCTGTTCTAGATCCAATGAACTGTAATCAAATATGACAAGGGAGCAGCAAAATTATTATGATCAGTTTGTATGCCTCACTCAAATTTGAATGCGATCAAATTCTTAAAACCAATTGACTGCATTGTTCTATGTTTGATCCAGTCACTAACCAACTGCTTATAATGTTAAAAAACACATCGAAAATTAATTATGAACAACGGTTCGGTGCCTCGTCTTTCACAATTTTTGGTTGGCTATCGACGTTGGCTGGCCATCTGTGTTACCCCTTTCGTTTCAGAATATAAAGATAATCAATATTATGTAATAAGTAAATGGATAGTGTTATAGCCAAACGAAGAATAAATGAGTGGCAACGGTTAGGGTAATCATTAAGTAAACTACATTATGTGCATATTCATATTCCTTTTATTGTAAGTTTCCATTTGACTGATCTATTGACTACTGCTATACAATTTACTGTTCGTAAGTTATTCCCAATTTATCAGTTACAGTCTCTTACAATCACAGCTAAATTGTGACCTGATCTTGTATAATTGTTATTTTCTATTTTATGGTATGATGTGGTCTGTTTTTCCTGTCTGAAATATATGATTCATTCAGTGGAATCTGACACTGGTGTTCTGGGCTCAACAGGCAGGGTCAGACGAGGACTAATAAGGACTCGAGGCTGTTTCTACTAGCATTATGCGTTATTGGTCAGGGTCACACACACCGTATTCTATTTGGCGATATTACCACTGACAGGGCCAAAAGACATAACATGTAGTAATGATTGCATCATTCAGAAAATCGTAGATCCTATGACAAGTAATTTTGATGTGATAAACCGAAACAGGAAGCGCTTAAAACAAGATTTGGAAAAGCGGCATTTTTAGGAAAAAATACTTTTTAAGTTGAAGTAAAACAAAATTGTATTTTTGAGTGCAAAAATATGCACAAAATTATATAGTTCAATCATCTTTAGCTAATTTTATATCTTGTAAAACATATAAACTTGGTGAACAAACAATATCACGATGAATTAAGTCTCTAGCTTCATCTATTTTTAGGCTTAAAATGTGATTACCAAATTGACGACATGCACCAGAAATATGACGAATTAATTCATCCAATTGTAGCAAACTTTTAATTAATGAACCTTCTGGTATATCACATTTTGATATGGTTGCAGAAAATGAATAACCATTAGCCCATTTATAAACTACTGGCACTATACGTAGATCGAGTCGACTTTCCAAATATGGATCAGTTAAGTTATGAAGACGTTGTAATGTTTCCAGCTACAAAATAAGTTTTTGCATATATATAATATACAATATACATAAAGAGAGCCAGAGCTAAAATGAAAACTGCAACAAGTAAGCCTTACGAGTGCCAACTAGCACGAAACCATGATACAGCATTTCGTCCCAACTACCTTCAACGATCTTATAAGCTATGACACTTTTATACCTTCAACTGACATCATGATTTACCACTATTCAGTTACGTTTGCTGGTGGAGTTATTCAGAAGAAAGCTGAAGGTGAAAAAACCCAAACATGGACTCAGTTCGTAAAGTCGTTAACTGTTGAACTGTACCGTGTTCTTAAACTCAGATTACCTAACTGGGTTCCACGACAATTACCAGAACTAATTCTTAGTGATGTCGGATAACAGTGCTATGATGCAGATGTATTGACGTTTGTCTTAAAATATCAGCCAACTACAAACGTAGGACCAGGCACATATATGCATCAGCAACTCAGTTACTATCATTCCCTAATACCCTGCGTATAATTCATTTTTACTCACCCGGTGATAACATCTTTGGTCAAATACTAGTAGCTTACGAGTATCTTCCACTCTTAATAGCCACGTTTCGCAGCCGTAAAGTAAAACAGAACGAACTGCCGCACAATATACTCGTCCCTTAATTGATAGGTGGATAGCTCGCACTCGTCATTGATGTGAATTGGCAAAAGTCAAACGAGCATTCTGAATCCGTGCCGAAAATTCGTCAGATACCAACCCGTTAGGGCTGAACAGACTTCCAAGATAAGTGAAGTTGTCGACGCGTTCGAATACTTAACTCCCTATCCTTAGTTCAGGCGTTGCCGCAGGCCAGTCCTGAAGCAACAACTTGCATTAAGAGGAGCAAACGCATCCCAAACATTCTGGCGTTGCTGCTCAGTGCTACCAAAAGACTCTGCATTTTATCAGCGTCTTCACCAAACAGGACTATATCATATGCGTATTCTAAGTCGATAAGTGGACCTCCTGGTAGGAGATCAATGCACGAAAACTCAGTCGACGATAACGCTGTTGAACAAAATGGAGATAGTGAACAACCTTGATGGGAACCACGTGAAGTTGCAAAATCAGGTGACTTCGCCATATTCATTATATTATTCATTTATTTGAACACGCAAATATTGTTACAAGGGGGCACCAGATATATATGCGCCAAACAAAACAATAAGAATGAGAAGAAAACAAGAATGTAAGTTACGTATAAGAAAAAAAAGAGAAAACAATGGCATCCACAGATTAAAGTATGATACTGTGATAATAAAAATAATATTAATAATGGGGGAAACCGAAAGATACAATCAGAAAGAATTCTTTTAGTTAAGGAAGATACAACTAATTTTTACGAAGTAAAAGAAGGTTACAGTAGGATCATCACTGGCTTCTATTCTGAGCCATATCTGATAACGTCTCGAGCCATTGTGTTGCACCATATCTAGGACCCCAGCCAGGGTGTCGTGAAAAACTAACACAAACCAGCTTTTTGCAGCTTTCTTTTATACCACACCATGTCATACACTGACCACCTCTCCGCATTTTCCAACCAGTCCCAGCGTCGGCAAATAATGCACGACGTGGAATTCTCTGGGACAACATTCGTACAACATGTCCAAGCCACCGAAGTCGGTGTTTCAAGATGGTAACACCAACCGCATTGTCGTCTCTGTGCCCGAACACACGATGCCAAACCTCCGTATTACTAACATGGTGTTGCACTGGATGTCAGATATCTTTCGGAGACAGCGGTGATCGAACACAGAGAGTCGTCTAACGTCCTCAACTCGGAGAGTCCAGGTTTCACAAGCATAGAGCAAAACTGCTCTCACCGACGCGTTTTAGATCCGACCTTATACAGCCAGACTGACATCACGAAGGCGACAAAGATGACCCAGATTAGCATAAGCCGCTCTGGTTTTCACTATACGTGTATTGATCTCGACACTCAATCCACCACCAGCACTTATGCAGCTACATAGGTACACGAACTTCTCGACTACTTCTATGTGCTCCCCATCCAGGGTGAGTGCAGGATTAGAATCCTGCCAGTCTCGTAGAAGTACTTTGCACTTGGAAGGTGCAAAGCACATACCGTACCTACGGACATTGACTGCCAACCGATTAAGTGCGGATTGCATGCCTTGGGCATTATCGCACAGTAAGACAATATCATCCGCATACTCAAGGTCGAGAAGTCTTTCTCCAGGCAACAGATCCACACCACCATTACCTACATCCATCAGAGCTGTTTCCAGAATGTCATCGATGGCAAAGTTGAAGAGGAATGGTGAGATTGGGCAACCCTGTCTAACCCCACTGCTCGAATGGAACAATGGAGAAAGGTGGTTGTATGCCCTCACTCTGTTTGAGGTGTTTGTATATAGGGGCACACCCGTTTCCAGCTCATTAGCACGCTCCGACCACCATGCTTCTCGGTTCTTTGCCTGATTTCATTACGTTTGTGGTCAATCTCACGGTTAGCCGTAGTAGACCGACGGGCTTCAATGAGTTGTAAGGAGCCTGAAGAAACCCAGTGCTTATAAGCGGGACGTTTCGCAAACGCACAACTGACGTCAAGCAGTTGCAACCAAAGCTCATCTATACTTTTCGGTGGAATGGTAGCTAGCCTAGAAGCTAGCTCGGTTCGATACTTACTAGCAACAGAAGTTGCAACCAGCTTGCTAACATCAATACTTCGGTGGGGCTCACTTCGTTGGCCATTAAAAAGTAAGGTAAGATTGGCGCAGACCAGGGCATAGTCAGAGTCCAGATAGGTACTCCAAAAGGAGCGGCAGTCTTGTACACAACCACGTCAGCGATAGCTGATCGCGATGTGATCAATCTGAGTCCAGGCTTGGGATGCAGAGCGAGGACGCCAGGTGGCACATCGGCGATGACTGTGCCGAAAGTTAGTGCTAGCCAGAAACAGGTTGTGGTCTGTGCAAAGTTGCAGTAGACGGTTTCCGTTATTTGACCTGCAACCAACAAGTTCCCCGTCGGCCACCTAAATGATTCTCTTCTGTGCCTAGACGCCCGATCTGAGCATTCAAGTCTCCGGCTGGTACTAAAATATCTGTCGAATGCACTTTCTGGAGAAGAACAGTTAAGTGGTGGTAAAATTCATCCTGGGCTCCAATCTGTCGGGGCACAGGCGGAGATGATGAAAAGACATCGTTTCTCACGCCTGTTTCTTCTCACTTTGATGGAACTTTCTAATCTAACAGCACATAACCGACTGTTAATGGGGATCCAATCGATTAGTGCTGCCTCAGCTCTAGCGCTTAGTGCGACACCAACGCCAGCAAGACCAGGCAGAGGCTGTATACGCGTGGGCGTATGAGGCCGTTTGGAGAGGGAGGGCGAGGCCTCCCCATTCTCGGTCGTACTAGGGCCCTGGCTCGACTAGTGTTCGAGTAAAGAGTCTTCGCCAGGTTCATGTACTTCTGAAGTACGCCTTTTAATGACCCTTTCTTATATATTTGGACGATAAGTGATTATGACCAGCCAGATGGGATTACATCCAACTCCCGGATTTTAGCTAACGGAGCCGTTTAGCCGAACAGCACATAGACGACCGTTAATGGAGATCCACTCCAATAGTGCTTGTTCTGCCCTCGTACTTAGTGCTATGTCTACACCCGCCAGTCCAAGAAAACTAGCCACCGCGTCGCCAGATACACGGAGAGTGCATTCCATCGACTCTCCGTTTTGACGAGTTGACGTCAAGTGAATGACCACAGTAGGATCCTGTATGTGTTTCGGAGACACATCATACATCAATGGTAGAAGATTCTAGTGTTATAGCTCAGGATGCCTGCTGGCCGATTTGACACAGGGTGCGTACGTTGAAGGCTCCAATGTGTAGTTTGGAGCGCGGTTTCAGTAGACCTGGGACAATGTTTTACGCACTAGAATCTTTGGCTATGGTGACACTTGAAGAGGAAACCAAAAGAGGAGGTTTAGTGTTGAAAGTCGATGTAGGAGGAATAATCGGAATTGAAGAGGGAGACTGATCATGAATATAATGATCTTGAGTGCTGCTAGAGTTATGAAGGCAGTTATCACTTCCCGGTTGCTCATACCGTGGAATGGTTCTTCTGGAGTTACCTGAGAGCGTGACCTCAGTACCCAATGGGCTACTGCTTGAGGCCGGTCACGCAAGACTTTCATGTGAGTAATTTTCATGCTAGCTCCGTACTTTTTGGAATCGTACCGCCGGAGACGGATATCCGTGGGATAAGACGAGGTGTGCATTTTTAGGGTTGACCATTTCTAACCCCACCCCCCCCCTTACGGAAAGGCAGCATCGCTGTTACGCTGGTTGTCTGAAGGAAACACCTTAATGCCGTCACTTTGCTGTACAGTCAGAAGTACGACTTCGCCCTCAGAACTTGAGTTTGCTGCTTTTAGTCTTACTGCTCTTCAACCGACCTGTCTGGTGTGCTAGGACCTTGAGGAACGGTTGTTCCTGCCAATATAGCTCGATTGGTTCATCACAATAGCCAAGCCCGACCACCACGTCAAGGTATTTTTCAAGAAACATTGTATATCTATGTTTTGTCCTACCATTGACTCTATAACTACTTCTCTTTCTCTGGTTTGTCTTGATAATTCAGTTTTGTCGTACTGATATGGTTTGACAACTTGGACTGATGCTCATATGTGCTTATGACTGATTAAATGAAAATTCTCACTAATTAGAAACAGTTGATTCGTACTGAACAGATGCATTAAAGTATCGTCAGCTCTCTTTTCTTTTAAAAATAATTCCTAAAATATCAAATTGATCAAATTGGTCTATAATTATCTGTTAGTTATGTGACAATATCAAATTATGTAATTCAATCCACAATTACCTTAACTGTAGAACAAGAGGAAATACAGAACAATGTTCGTGTTCAGTTGTATATAAATCTAGATCATACCAACTTGTAGTTATAAATCTCTTCAGAGTCAACAAAAAAACAAGGGATTCAAAACGATTGGTCCTAACAAAACATATCGCGTCATAAAGTACTAAATTGCCGGAGAGTTGCAATCATGAATATAAGCATAAACATTACGATATATATACTATGGGATCGATTCTATCTATAAAATCCACATCTCCAACCACTAGATACGATAATCGCACTTATGCCAATCAAGTAATTTGTATTTACCTACATGACTCAGTTCAATGGTTTCATGTACTGACGTCACATTATGGTCTAGTCTTTCTAGACTTCTTTCAAACTACTCCGACATCAATCAACATCGCATATCGAGGTAGAAAGCGGTTAAGCATACAAAATACATACCTCAACCGCCTTAAGTCGATTAAGATTTACTGCCTCGTCAAATGATTTGCCATTACTATCCAGTACTCTGCGTCTAAACTCAACTTTTCACTCGGTGATCACATCGTACACGAGCGATGATTCTAAGACACTCATGTTCGAGTAATAATGTACTATACTACTAATATCTTATATTCTCAAAAGCCATATGTCACAACGATAAAACAGAACAGAGTATTGTGCTGTGCGGTAAGCTCACCCTTTGTTTGGAAGATGCATAAGGCTTAGTTGAGTGTCCGCTAATTATTAGAGCTAATATTTTAGACAGTATACTAGTCAAACTGATTTCTCAAATGTCACAAGAGGCATTTTATCCTTTCCTATAAAACGGTGATGATCAGTGACCGAAACCAGTCAAATGAGATTACGTCCAGGTCTTAGAATCTAGCTAATATATTAGCCAATCCAGTTAGTTAAACTGAATCACTATCATTAAAGAACCTGCCGCTCTTCCTCGCTTTAAAATTCCTATAGTTTTATCAAATACAGAAAAACTTGGAGAACTTGTTTGAGTTCCCCATTCATTCGGACGTCCCTGACGGAAAATATTACGACATTTGAATTCATATTTATTCGAGTCTGACTGTAAACTATATTTATGTTTCATAAGTTTATAGAAATTCAACTGAGATATCGTTATGTTGTCAGTCAATTTACCTTATTCCGAAACACTGTTGAACCATTTTATCAGTTAATTGGAAAATGTGTATATGCAATTAACTCACCTCAGATGCACGAGTTAGAATGTTTTTGAATACTAAAAGTAAATGACGAGGAATACATTCCAAATCCTTATGAAGATTAAAATTGCTTGTATAATTAGTTGTAGTAGTAGAAGCAGTACAATTTATTGAAGCAATTAATTCTTTAAGATAATAGCTAGTTGTCTTTTCTGGAGTAAGATCTTGTGCTCTTAGTTCATTGGAAAACGCTGAGAGAACAGCTGCAATATCAGGAGCCAATAAATCGTCAATAAAACCGTCGAGTAAAAGTTGCGTCAATAAAACTTCCTTACTTGTTAATTCACATGCAAAGAAACCTAGGAAAAACAAAAAAAGGATATAACAGTTTGTTGTGTCTTGTTGACCGCTGACAAATATCACTTGGCAATTCACTAATCAGAATACTGATTTGATCTATTTTGTGCTTACTATGTACTCTATAATCTAAAATCTCTGATTTGCCCAATTATAGGCCTCACCAGTACTACTAATTTTGAGCCGATATCTAGTTTCCTACTGGTCAGTGATTCGCAAGCATTTCTCTCAATAGCTGCTCCGAGTTCAAAAGTCATCGACCAGCTTCTACTATATTTATATTCCAAACAGACGTGGTTTATATGGACACACCCGGCCGCACCACACTATAAAATGAAAAATAACAATTATGGATAAAAAAAAGCCAAAAGTGGTAGTGGATAGCGGAAACCGTAAGTGATAGACTAAACACGAATAGAAAGTCGTACGACAGTTGTTTATGGATATATAGACATAGTAGTCTAGTTACTTAAAAATTACGTAATAACGCTGTAATATAATATTTATCGATCAATTGGTCCTGATAGTTACTATTCCCTCAATCTTCGTTCCGGTATATCAGTTTATTTGTTTTATTTCAGTTAAATTAACAATTGATCTTAGTAGTACAACAACAACAACTAATAATAATAGTGTATGGAAAAAAGCAATCAAAATAACGAAAATACCCGAGGGGTTAATGTTAATCGTTTTGAAATATGTCTTAAAAGTACATTCCTCATATGTTTGTTTTGTTAAATAAAATCGCATATTGTTTGGTAAAGTATCCAGAAATACAGGAATTAGTATGTTCGAATTTCCGTCCAATTCAAAACTCTATTCGTATTTAAAATAACCAACCTATTGAATCCCCACAACCATGATAGGGAACAAAAATGTCGCAGTTGTTGGTCCAGTCTAGAGGCCGCAAAGAATCCGACTAAAGCTGAACCATAACCATGGCCAAAACCGGATGGGCCTTGGCAAAGAATACACGCTGATTTCGCAGGTCCGATAAAAAGCAGAAATTACTTGGTTGTCGTCGATGCTTTCACAAAATGGCCAGAAGTATATCACATGCCGAAAACGACACCAATAAGAATATTGTCAGGATTGTTTGCCTGTCTTGGGGTTCCAGAGATCTTAGAGACTGACAACAGTACACAGTTTATGTCATCTGCTTTTAAACACTTTTGCGGCGAAAATGCAATATCGCATCTACAATCTGCTCCGTCTCATCCTCAGTCGAATAACCAAGCAGAAAGAATCGTGGGTACGATAGAAAGAGCTATGTTCAAAAAAGGAAGAGAGGGTATCCCAGAACAGGTGATCAGTAAGTTCCTAATGTCTTACAGCGTTACCCCCAATCCGGCAGTAACAGAAGGAATGTCACCAGCCGAGTGTATACGGACAGTCCTTAACAGAATTCTGCCGCCTAAAAAGACAAATAAACCCATGAATGAGCACCGTACGGTCACTCGTAGCTTCCAGGTGGGTGAAAGGGTATTTGTTAAATCGTATCAAGATGATAAGAAGTAGGGAGCAGGTGCATGGAACGTCGGATCGAAAATGCACTGTACCTAGTTCGGAGAAATGTCGGAACGTGTATAAGACACATAAATCAAATTCAAGGGGACGGCAGAACTTCGATCACACAAGACCGACCCCGTTTCAACCACTCGCGGATTCAGCTCGGGAGCACGAATGTAGAAATAAGAGGCGCAAGGCCAAGGCGGTACAGGCTTCGAGAGTGATGAACAGCAAGAGGAATGCGGTAACCGAGTTTCAGGTGGACCGAAGGAAAACGTTTTACACAAGACTCTAAAGAGTGGAGGTTTGAGGACAGTCAACGGGTGAACTCGAGGAAGCCCTAAGAAGCTCAGAAAGGGATAAAGATATTTCATCCACGTCGCCACTGGTTTGTCTTGGTTCTTCTTTTACAAGTGAAAGGAAGGCTATTCCAAATAGTGTCAATTATGGTACAAAACTTTCAGGTATTTATAGGGGGGTATTAGCATTTGTCCAATAGGGAAGCTCTACGTAGGGAATATAGAATATTCTTCCGAAATATAATTGAATGGAGTATCTTCGGCTCTCTCTGAGCTTCTTAGGGCTTCCTCAAGTTCACTCGTTGACTGTCATCACATAATAATTCTTTTGAAATACACTGCCTGGTAAATTCTGGAAATCTACGAATTAAATTCAGCAGGAGTTTTTCAGTGTATAGAAATTAATCCCTAATTCCTGTAGAAAAATTAAGGCAAATATAAACTTACGTGTGAATATTAATATTTCTTCTCTGCCAAATCAATATGCTATTCTTAAAAACAACTAAGTGTAAGGAAATTTATCAAAAATCTAGGTTGCACTCTGATGTTTCATCTGCCAATAAATAGTACATTTTTTGACAAAACAAAAAGTACTTAGGTTACACCTTTAGAAATTAGAGACTATCTTTAGTTTTATTTACTCATTTGTTAAAAAATTAAATAAAATCATTATGATAAAACTATTATTCAAAAATGACTCGTTTTCGTCACAGTAGAGTCTCATTTGAGACACTATTGAAAATCAGATAGCTATCTCAACTAGGATCAATCCGTAAGGAATGGAACCTACGAATTCAAAACATTCTCCAAAAAACCTTTTCAAGATGTCGGTGAAGTCCTAGTGAAAAGTCGTGATTAGTGGAGTCACCATAAGTAACGGATTATCATCACGCCATATTGTGGATTGAACAAGAAATTGTACCAACTGATGCCGATAGTGATTTTGATGGTGAAACGTTAACTGAGCGATCTCAAGGCCCTGAGTTTTTATCTTTGGCAAGTTCGTGGGTACTCAATGGAGATGCGTAGCATATTAAAACGAAACAGTTGTCCAGTGTTTCCAGGTTTTCAATGGTACCTTTAGTGAGTTTAGTCTGTGACAAATAGAATCTACAAATTAAACTAATCACTACAAAACCCTTCAATCAAACCATGATTGTTTAGGCATTGCAAATATCTTACCTTTAAAACTAAGGCAATAACTTTGTGTTGCCGAATCAATAAATCCAAGTTCTTTCAGAACACTCAAACGTCCTGTATATTCATTAGAAAGTTGTAATTGACAATTGGCTAAATTATTTTCGATACTGTTAATCGCAAATTTCCGACGAATTGTTTGATGAACAAGTTTTAAATGTTGTAGTAAATTTGGACATTTCAATAGATTTGTTGAACTGAATGCTGTTATCGTGCCGTTTGCAAGAGGAATTGTTAATTGATCATTCAGCGTGGAATATTCATCAAATAAGCAAATATCCTAATAATCGAACAAAATATAAATTGAATAACATAAAAAAGAAATAAAATAACTAATCCTATATTGTGCAAACCATCACTTGAAAACAAGTGAAATGAATCTTACAACAACAATAATTAAGAAACCTGATTTTCATAAGCAGAACTATTGCAGATATAAAAAGTTAGTGAGATGAGCAAGAGATTAAGTATATGAAACCGAAATAATCTCTAATTTTTTAAAACTATTAAAAGCCATAAAGGTTTATAACCATTAATACTTGGATACGTAAACATGTAGAAGGTATATTTATACACTATACTTTAATTACTTCGGTTACGATTTAGGCAAATAAAATTATTTATAAAGATCTAAATATTAAAATACCAATTGATTCCATAACGTTTACCAGAAACCACTTTAAATCATCGATTTTGAAATCAGTCACCTACGACGTAGGACCAGGTACATATATGCATCAGTCCGTTACCATACCTCATTAGCACAAGATGAACACCGGATTCATAGAAGTAGTTCATTCAGTGGTTGCAATATATAAAAGAAACATTGCATTCAAGGACATAGTACAGGAAGAAAGAATTAGTTCGTAGAAAGAAAGATATGGAGCGATTTTATTCCCATAGTTTGAGGGAAGACAGAGATTGTATACATCTACTCCATTGTGGTCGATTCTCAGCCATGTCACTCAGTCTCTAACCATTGATTACGACAGTCACGCGGACTCCAACCTAGTAGTCTGCATCTACCAACATGGCTTAGACTACAAGTTAGTGACTTCAAGCACTGATGGCACGTTTCGGTCTGGCCGCCCCTAACTTTCTTCCAACCATCCCTAACATCGGTCACAATTGCGCATCATGATAATTGGTGGTTGGGCCTGCTTAATACGTGGCCCAACCACTTCAGTCAATGAAAGTTCACAACCCCATCAACTGATTTACCATCATTCCCTAATTCATTTTTACTCACCCGGAGATAACAGCAGATGCAAGCAATATTTCTAAGACATCTTTGGTCAAATACTAGTAGCTTACGAGTATCTTCCACTCTTAATAGCCACGTTTCGCAGCCGTAAAGTAAAACAGAACGAACTGCCGCACAATATACTCGTCCCTTAATTGATAGGTGGATAGCTCGCACTCGTCATTGATGTGAATTGGCAAAAGTCAAACGAGCATTCTGAATCCGTGCCGAAAATTCGTCAGATACCAACCCGTTAGGGCTGAACAGACTTCCAAGATAAGTGAAGTTGTCGACGCGTTCGAATACTTAACTCCCTATCCTTAGTTCAGGCGTTGCCGCAGGCCAGTCCTGAAGCAACAACTTGCATTAAGAGGAGCAAACGCATCCCAAACATTCTGGCGTTGCTACTCAGTGCTACCAAAAGACTCTGCATTTTATCAGCGTCTTCACCAAACAGGACTATATCATATGCGTACTCTAAGTCGATAAGTGGACCTCCTGGTAGGAGATCAATGCACCAAAATTCAGTCGATGAGAGCGTTATTTCCATCAGTATGTCTATGATGAAGTTGAACGAAAATGGGGAAAGCGAACAGCTTTGACGGACACCACGTGAAGTTGCAAAATCACATGACAGTTCGCCATGAGCTCTAACTTGACTAGTAGTGTTAGAGTAAAGAGCCTTCACAAGGTTTATGTACTTCTGAAGTACGCCTTTTAATGACAGACAATGCCATAGAACCTCTCGGTTTACAGAGTCAAATGCTGCTTGCATGCTTGTGTTCTAGAACCTGACGAATGGTGAATATGTGGTCGATGCAGCCACGACCAGGTCTGAAGCCAGCCTGATTTTCTCGTGTTTGCAGTTCACGAGTCTTAGTTAGGCGATCGATAATTATTGACGCTAATATTTTAGATGCTGTATCAGTCAAACTAATCCCTCTACGGTCGTCACTGGATGATTTTGTCCATTTCTTATATATTTGGACGATAAGTGATTGTGACCAGTCATATGGAATTCGCTTTTGATACAACAAAGCATAGTTTGATCAAGGTATTTATGATAGTCCACAAGTAAATCCAAAGAAAACTATGCCAGGAGCTAAATGACGTAATTCTTTAATTTTTCAATCATAATACACCATAAACAACTGAATACTGGCAATCTTGCAAAATCATGTTATCACGAATGGAATTCTGTTGTTGTGGTTCTATAAATCTAAGACAGATTTTTAATGAAGAACTCCATGGACCGACTTATAATATACATCATTTGTAAATATTTGTACTGGAGAATCTACAAATTTTACGTCTAAACACATGACTAACTTTCCTCCGATACACATTAGCCATATAACAATGCATCACATCACATCTGAAAACAATGAATCATAGTTTTCCTACTGAATTTCTTTTCTAAGTAGTCAATATTCATTGGTCTTAGTTTCGCGTCTGTGGATGATGTTAAAATACGATTAACAATAATTGTGAACTGGATACAGCTAAAAACAAAAACGAGTGGATACTTATTTGGTTCGGTGCTTACTAAAAGGTCCGGAGTTTAATTTCTAAAACTATTGTGAACGTTTACCATGACTCATAATAATAAACAATCTGTCAAGCCATTTCCTAGTTTTCAGTACTTTTCTCCCCAGTCATTCCGTGGATTATTACAATCCGATCATCAATAGGGAAAAGATAAAATGGAATTGTTAAATAAATAGTTACATGAAGATGAAGTTAATTAATTATAGCAAAAAGTGATAAAAATCTCCGAAGTTGTCTTTAAATTTACAGATATACAGTACTGAAGGATGTTAATTAAAATAATCGAGACGTTAAAGGTATTCCGTTAATCGTTTGTAATTACTAATGGATGATTTTGCTGTTTCAGGTGCAGATCTTTAAATGATCATTTAAGTTATGAGATCATAAGTATATTTTATTTAAAAAACTCATGCTTGTCGCAGATTGTAAATTGATTCTTAAAAATGTTCCCAATTAAGGAACTTCATTATTATTATTATTATTATTATTATTATTATTATTATTTGAACACATAGATATTAGTACAAGGAGGCACCAAATACATATGCGCCACACAAATCTCATTTGATTTGTGTGAGGGCTGTGATACTGCTCGGGTGCCCAAACTGAAGCAGGTGGTATTAGTAGGGCGCCACACTCGGAGCCTTCGACCTAAACGTCTGATCCACAAGGCAGTGGAGCATCGTGAAGAGATGCAGTCCCATGCTAGCCGGTGACCAACAGTTGGTTCATACGCCATTTGTTCCTTCAGGATACTGGAGCCGATGTGCTCTATTGATTTGGAGTCAAGGACTTCCAACTCCCTTAGGTGGACCCTCAGTGTCCACCAACTCGGTTAAAGCACCGGACATTCGCTTTTCGTCCTGTCAATTTCGTAAACAACACCCCCGCCGCGGGAAGGAAGTGAGAAGGACGATAAACTGTCTATATTTACGGAAACTACTTATCTTGCTTCGACTAACAATCAAATGATTAAAATTATTATTATTATTACTATTATTTTTATTATTATTATTATTATTACTACTACTACTATTATTATTATTATTAATATTATTGTTATTTACTACGTCATTATTCACCCTCTTTTATTCCTACTCTGTATATACTAATTTTTTCGACTTGCACAGCAGCTCGCCTTTGGTGGAAGGTCTGTTCTATCCAAACGTTCTCGAGTCACTGTCCGGTTGAAAATTGTATGTTACCACCAAATATATATACTGAAAGTTTTTCTGAAACCACGTGCGCCATTCAAACTGGCTGCCTTCAACGTTCGCACACTTATGCAGGTCGAACAACAGATAGGACTGGCTATGTTTTAATATCAATGTCTGATGTCTATCCGAGATCTGTATTCAAGACTCTGGTGAAGTACTACAAATTCGCTTTCTATATGTCGCTTCGAAAAGCTTGTATTACGTGCGTTTATCCGGGGACCCTGTGGCATCTTCGTCTGGTCTTGCTGGCGTTGGTTTCGCACTAAGCGCTAGAGCTGAGGCAGCACTAATCGATTGGATCCCCATTAACAGTCGGTTATGTGCTGTTAGATTAGAAAGTTCCATCAAAGTGAGAAGAAACAGGCGTGAGAAACGATGTCTTTTCATCATCTCCGCCTGTGCCCCGACAGATTGGAGCCCAGGATGAATTTTACCACCACTTAACTGTTCTTCTCCAGAAAGTGCATTCGACAGATATTTTAGTACCAGCCGGAGACTTGAATGCTCAGATCGGGCGTCTAGGCACAGAAGAGAATCGTTTAGGTGGCCGACGGGGAACTTGTTGGTTGCAGGTCAAATAACGGAAACCGTCTACTGCAACTTTGCACAGACCACAACCTGTTTCTGGCTAGCACTAACTTTCGGCACAGTCATCGCCGATGTGCCACCTGGCGTCCTCGCTCTGCATCCCAAGCCTGGACTCAGATTGATCACATCGCGATCAGCTATCGCTGACGTGGTTGTGTACAAGACTGCCGCTCCTTTTGGAGTACCTATCTGGACTCTGACTATGCCCTGGTCTGCGCCAATCTTACCTTACTTTTTAATGGCCAACGAAGTGAGCCCCACCGAAGTATTGATGTTAGCAAGCTGGTTGCAACTTCTGTTGCTAGTAAGTATCGAACCGAGCTAGCTTCTAGGCTAGCTACCATTCCACCGAAAAGTATAGATGAGCTTTGGTTGCAACTGCTTGACGTCAGTTGTGCGTTTGCGAAACGTCCCGCTTATAAGCACTGGGTTTCTTCAGGCTCCTTACAACTCATTGAAGCCCGTCGGTCTACTACGGCTAACCGTGAGATTGACCACAAACGTAATGAAATCAGGCAAAGAACCGAGAAGCATGGTGGTCGGAGCGTGCTAATGAGCTGGAAACGGGTGTGCCCCTATATACAAACACCTCAAACAGAGTGAGGGCATACAACCACCTTTCTCCATTGTTCCATTCGAGCAGTGGGGTTAGACAGGGTTGCCCAATCTCACCATTCCTCTTCA